GATGGAGGAAATTCAGATACACCTATGCCTGCACTATTGGCCACACTCTGAGAGCTATTTACCCAGGGAACAATGCCTGCTGCCTAAAACTCTGCTGTGATCTCACAAGCAACCAGAGCCAGTTATGGTCAGTAGTTGAAGGGAAGAACTCCAGAAAAAATAGCCCAGGCTGCCATAAGTCATCTCAGTGATTTGTTGGTAGTTCTGTCAGAGTAAGGAAACAATGCCCCACACTGTGTCTGGGAGCATTGTTTAAAGGAGATTCATATTTTCTCTCTCTCTCTCTCTCTCTCTCTCTCTCTCTCTCTCTCTCTCTCTCTCTCTCTCTTTCTGTCTCTCTCTTTCTCCCTTTTCTCTTTCTGTCTCCCCTCCCTTTCTCCTATCTTCTTTCCTTCCTTCTTCCTTCCCTCTCTTCCTTTCTTTGAATCTTTTTACTTTTTAATAAATTTTATTACATATATCTGAGATTTCCACATGTCATGGGATGGATAGGTAGATAGATGGTAAAACAGTTCCTGTAGTGTAGCAGATATACATCTCTATCATTTCATGTAGTTCTTTTGTGTCACAAGAGCTGCTAAAATCTACTTTAACAAAAATCCTAATACAGTACAATTTTTCTAGCTGTAGTGCTCATGTCAGACATTAGATATCATTTTTTCATCCTGTAAATCTGCTGTTTTGTATCCTTTGAACTATATTTCTCCAATTCCTCCCCTCATCTTCCTGCCCTGTTAACTATGGTTTTTCTGTGTATATTTGACTTTTTTTTTACAACACTAGTTGAACTCAGACCCTTGAGAGAGGCCTTCAGACCTTTTTACTTTTACTATTTTACAAATAATTTTCCCCCCAGGCCAGCCTGAACCATCCTTTCCAAGCACCTAGGGTGACAATCAAATGCCACTGCACTCAGCTTTCTCCTGGTTGAGATGGGAGAGGGGTTTCTCACAAACTTTTCACCTGGGCTAGCCTCAAACCATGATTTTTCTTATCTTAGCTTCCTGACTATCTAGAATTACACCTGTCAGCTACCTGGCAGTATCTTGTTTTTTAATGCAACATTTTTTTTCTCTAAACAGAAACTGGACTCCATGTTTATAACTATTGTGAAATACTCCCCTTGATACACACAAAAATTATCAGCATATCTCTACAAATAAAAACTAAGGCAAAAAGTAGTTAAGATTTTTAGCATATGAGCAATGTACTCTGCACTTTAGCATAGCATGTGGTACCTAGAAGGCATTTCCATATATGTATGAATGAAGGTTGGAGTTTCCAGCATTAGCTTAGCCAAAACCAAAGTTAAAGAAGATGTTAAATTATTTCAAGTATTCACATGGAAAAACTTCTGGCAGATACTAGTGAACTGAGGATTTTCTATAAAGCAATGTTGATAGTATGATATCACCAGGAGCTAGACTCTAACCAACTTGCTCTTCTATACTTGCAGCTCTTTGCAGTCAGGGAAAGCACACACAGAAAAGCAATTCAGTCCACAACTGGTAACCATGTATAAAAACTGGAGGGATTCTAAATAGCACAAGGAAACTGAACTGAGAAAGGTAGCTGGCTAGCTTGGATAGTATTGGAATCATTTGGCTGAAGATGCTAATCAGTTACCATTTTGTTTTGAAATGGAAGCCTAGTAATCAAATAAGTTTAGTAAAATTCCCTGTGTTTATAGAAATCTAGTCAAAATATTCTATATTTTCCTATTTCAGCATCCTAGTGGAAGTTACGTTTTGCCTCTCTAATTGAATATTTGCTTACATGTGTGTAATACAACATCCCTGAATGGAGAAAAAAACACTATCATATTTCTATTTTTTGTAGGCATCAGACTTCCTGTTTTTCTTTATCTTATGTTAAGACCCTAACTTGCAGGCCATGTTTATAGTATTATCTGTTATTTTATCAATTGGATGAGTAAAGTCCAAAAATCTTATCACATATGTATAATAAAAAGATAAAAGCACAAATTGGAAGTCCACAGCTCTCAGTGTGAGTGTTGACACTACCATTCACTTTGTAATCTTGGCTAAGTAACTTCACTTCCGAGCCTTAGTGTCCTCATCTATCAAATGAGGATAATGGTAATATCTATATCATACAATGCACACGAAGTCCCAATCTAAGATTGACAAGCAATCTTAGATATCTATTCCAGATGTCTGGTAACAGAGATGAAAGTATTTTCCAGGCTCTAAAGCCATGTGGTGGGGCCAAGCCTGTGTACTTTTCCTTTCCTATGGTCCCATGTAGTTGTTTCCTGAGAGCCACACGGAATGTTCAAGGATGGTCATTTTGAGGAACAGAGAAGAGACAAATTTACAGATCGTAGAGAGAAGGGCCATAGGAGAAAAGTCCCTGGGGCGAGACATTATGCCTAAAAGAAGACTTGTAGCCGCCCATACTTGGATTTTGTTGAGTCTCAGAGAAAGCAGACCTAGTATCTCGCATTCTGCAGCATTTTGGGGTAGATTTGATCACAAGGCTCCAGGATTCTGGAAAAAAAAAAGTAAAAGCCAGTAGGAAGTAGAAGGAATACACTCTAAAAATGTTCTGTCCCTTCCCTCTCACCACCCCCAGTCAGCTCCACCTTTGGACTGCCTTCAACAGAGAAATTGCATATGTTACTTTATTATTATTTTAACTATTTATATAATTATTGGCATAATTGCTGTTACTATTATATACAGATAAATATAGAGGATGTATTTATTGGGACATAAATTTATTGACTTACTTATCATCTCAATCCTATGAGAATGTCCATTATGATCCTTGTTTGCAAAATAAATGAAGAAACATTAGAAAGGATGAAATACTCATCAGTAGGCAGACAACTAGAGTTCAGACTCCACCAGGCATAAGTTTAAATTCCATGAGCTACAATTTCTTGTGTCTACCTAGTGCCCATGCCAATGAAAACCAGAAAACACAATCATTAAATGCTATTTGAAGGGTAGGAAAATGCGGTCACAGTGTTCAATGTGCATAAGTGAAAATGGAACCAGGCAATTTGAGGGGATAGGAGCAGTCAGGAGAGGGAAAGACGGAAGGGGCACACTAATCAAGATGCATTGTAGTCACAGATTAGCATGTTAAATTGAAGGTCCCTTGTACAAATACTTAAAAATTAGAATTAAAAAAATAATTAATTCTATTTGACTATTTGCCAACCCTGAGATCTCCTTTCAAGAGAGAAATGTTATCTAAATTGTTTAGTCATCTCATCCTGTTCATTTAGCAAACTATGATTTTAAAAAAGTAAACACATATTTAGCCATTCACTGTTTTCTACAATCCGGAAGTGTCATTGGTTCCTCCATTTCTCTAGACCTTTGAATGGCCTCTGAACTCCCTATCTCCTTGCTGTTTGGAGGGACCTTGGTTGAGTGAAGACACAGAGAAAGCTGAGACTTTGTTTAGGGAATCTTGCACTGGTCAATCTGGGTCTGGGCAGCCTTACTTCTACCTATTCCTATTCTCCCATCCCCAGGAAAGCATCTCTTCTACTTCTCCTGTCTCTAGGCTGCCTTCCTCAGAGTAAGAAAGCAATGCCCATGCAGATTTCTCAGTATTGCCACAGCTTGTACTACACATGTCCTCATCTCTCTTGCAAACTAAAATCTAATAATTGGATTGGTAGCTTATCAAAATGCAAACAAAATTGTGTAAAACAGTGAAATTTATCATGGCAAATTTTTTTTTGGTTTTCCTCTATGAGATGTCTTTTACCATTTCAAGACACATTCATTATCACATAGTATTTTCGCATTACAAAGAAAAGCTTTCTTAAGATTAATGTAATTTATTGCAATTAATCCTCTTAAATGAAAAGATGACATTGAGTATAGAATGGTAGGTAGTTGGAGTTTTCTTTTATCAGATAACTATAAGATTTACTGTATAAATAAGCACATTTAAATGTTTTGTATTAATTATATAACTTTAAATACAAGTTGAATGAAAAGTCTTAATTGGATTTTCTCCTTTCTGTTCTGCTGATGAAGCCTTAATTGCACATAATAAGAAAATACCTTTAGTCTGAAAGCACATCATACTGCAGTGACGGCCCAGCAACCTACTTCAGTAAAACACCAAACAAATGTCATGTCAATGCTTGCCTTGTGGGAAAAAAAACACAGAACATTTTCCCCTATTTAGTATTCAGTCAAAATACGAATAGAAGAGATATCCTGTGTACAGTGTCTTTGAAAAGGAAAAATCACTCATACTTTTTAAAGAAAAAAAATCCATGCATGGTTGTTATGAATCATAAAACTCACAGCAAACTGCCATGAGCTCTTTACCAAGATCCAAAGGCAAATCAGATTCTATCAAAGAGTTTAGTTAATCGGAGGACTAGAAAAGGATAAATTATAGGTAATCTGCTCTCCTAATAGCATTGATCCATAATTTATCTCAGCAAGTGATGCCCAGATGAAGTGTTCAACTTATTGAGATATGGACACTCAACATTTTCCATGACCAATTCCTAACCTAGCACCAGTTTCAATTCTTGAGACAATGGAATGAGACTTAATTTTAGCATTCTCTTTAGAAAAATATATTTAGGGAGGTAAATATGCTAGATCCAAGAGCCAAATATAAATTCTTTTCAGATGATGTATATTGATGGATTACTGATTTATCTTTATAGCTAATCCTCTCCGTTAGAGTGGATAAACCAGAGCTGGATACAATTATTTACACATTGAGAGTAGTGATGATTACTACATGGCATTAGTTCACTAATTCCACCAAAGTTGTTCTTTTCTTTGCCAAACATCTTCCCCTGTTGTTATGCACACAAATTTGTTTTCTTTGGGAGTTTTCTAATTTTAAAAAGCACAGACCAACAAGGCATGAATCTTCATGTTTGAGAAAATAATTCCCACTATTCCCACTGACTTGAAGGGAAGCTGACATGTCAATTCATTCCACAATCCCAAAGATGATCTTTCTTGCTTTGCTGCTCTCTCCTATAGCACCCATCCACTTTGAGTTATGCAAAACAAATCATTAAGAAGGATGGCCTGGGACTCCGGGGCCTCAACAAAGGACTTACAGCAACCTTGGGACGTCATGGAGCTTTCAACATGGCTTACTTTGGCTTCTATCACAATGTCAAAATCATTGTTCCTGTCGAAGAGGTAACTATGTAACAGATCAAGATCCTGGGGTAGGGGAAAGCTCTCTCAATGATAATAGCTTTATTTGTAGACTGTTTATGATGTCCTATCACTGTTCAGAATATTGACAGACATTACCTAATTTAATCATCACATCAGGCCTTACATATTCAATGTTGTTATCCCTCTTTAGAATCAACACACTAAGGCAGAGGAACATCCAGTACATTGCTCAGGATCCATTGTAAATAGTAAAGCAGAGGCTTGAACCCATGTCTGAAGCAAATGTATATCTGCTTCATGAATGTTAATTACATAGGAATGCTGTTCAGTTATCACAAATAGGAATTCCTAGAAACTGTGTTATTAATTTTCATCTCAGTTACATCATTTTTCAACAAAGATGAAATTTCCATATTGAGCTCATGGAAGATAAGGTAAGCAAGTTTTACATAAGCGTTAATATTAAAATTCACATAGCTTAATCTAAGTAGTGAATCAGCTTTTCTAAAATCACTTTCTTTTGATGCAATCTAATGATATAAACTATTAACATTATTTTATGGTAACTTACAGATGCTAAATGTCTTCAAACATCTACAATATAAAAGTAGCACAATGATATACAAGATGTTATGTCTAAAAACAAACTTTACAACTTTGGCAGGGGGCGTGGGGGGGAGTGGGAAGGGGGGAAAGGGGAGGAGGGGGAGATGGGAGGGATGGGAAGGGGAAACAAAGGAGGAGGCAACAATGTTTGGTAAGAAATGTACTCATTACCGTGCCCATGAAAAAAAAAAAGTAGCACAAGCCGGGTGCCAGCGGCTCATGCCTATAATCCTAGCTATTCAGGAGGCTGAGATCTGAGGATCACAGTTAATAGCCATCCTGGGTAGGAAAGTCCATGAGACTCCTATCTCCAATTAACCACCAGAAAAAAACAGAAGCAGCACTGTGGCTCAAGTGGTAGAATGCTCACCTTGAGCTAAAGAGCTGAGTGACAGCACCCTGGCCCAGAGTTCAAGCCCCATGACAAAAAAATAAAATAAAATAAAAAAATTAAAGTATCATAGGATGTTCTTTTAATCTGAAGGATTATAAAATTTCTCTCACTATAAGGCACATACCCATGATACCAACCCTACTTTTTGGAGTCTGAGAGAAATAACTCACCTAACATGAGAGAGATATTTATGCTTCCTTTGCAAAGCTACCGAAAGGCCTGAGGTAGATAGAAAGTGTACACAACAAAGTAGATTACATCAATGACTTACCTAAATATTACCTTTATGTGTGAGTGCATTTTAACATGCATATTATTGCAATAAAATGTTTTCGTTATGTTTGAAGTTGAAAAAAGATCAATTGATGTACATCTAGTCACAAATGGAAGAATTATTTTTAAAATCCACAAGTACATAAACTTTAATTACTAAGATTGTAATTATCCATGTTAATAATCTGAGAATACTATTTTGTTTCAGTAATAGATTTTCCTAAGCCTTGCGTCTATACACCAGGCACTCTGTAAGGCCCTAAGTGTTCTGAAATGATGGGATCTCAAGAGACCTCTCAAGAGGACAGGAAAAGGGAATCTGAACGGACACAATAACAATGGAATATCATGTTTAGATAAGCACCATATCCAGAGTTAACAATTTTACTTTTTAATATGTATTTTTATTGTAAAGATACTATACAAAGGGATTACAGTTACATGAGTAAGGTAATAAGTAAACAATTTTATTTTTAAATCCTAAATCATGCCTGACAATATTTTACATATTCTCCAATTTGGTCCTTATAACTTTGAGCCCATTTCTTAAAATAAATCCCCCATCCCAATTTTTTCTCTCTCTTATTAATGTGTGTTAATTTTACAAAAGGGTTTTACTGTAGTTTTTCCACATATTTATATATACATATATAACATACTTTGATCAACTCCTCCATTACTCTTTTTTATTCTTCCTTCCCTAATTTTAAAATAATTATAATGGGTTACATTATTCTATCCCATGTGTAGCAAATACTTCAATTATAGTCAGTCTTCCTTCATCCACTTCTTCCATCCTCAAAAATGTTCCTGTGTTTTACAGTAGACTTATTCATTCCTTTCTTAGGTGTAGAGTCCACATATAAGACATAATGCGAAGTTTGCCTCAGTCTGGCTTATTTCTCTTAACATAATGATTTCTAGTTCCACTCATTTTCCTGCAAGTGACCTAATTTGTGGCTACATAGTGCTGCATTATGTAGATATACCACATTTCCTTTACCCATTCATCAGTTGATGGACTCAGATTGATTCCACAGTTTGACTATTACGAATAAAGCTGTGATAAACATGGGTATGCAGATACCTCTACCATAGATAGACTTATAGTCCTTCAGATACATGTGCAGGACCACTGGATTTTTTGTGGGGAATAAATCTAGAAGAAATGGATACATTTCTAGACGCATATGACTATATCAGACTTGAAGAAAAGGATATAAACAGATAAAACAGATGTATAGTGAACCATGAGACTGAAGCAATAATAAAGAATCTCCTAACAAAGAAAAAGTTCAGGGGCCTGGGAATGTGGCTTAGTGGTAGAGTGCTTGCCTAGCATGCATGAAGCCCTGGGTTCAATTCCTCAGTACCACATAAACAGAAAAAGCCAGAAGTGGCACTGTAGCTCATGTTATAGTGTTAGCCTTGAGCAAAAAGAAGCTCAGGGACAGTGCCCAAGCCCTGAGTTCAAGCCCCAGGACTGGCAAAAAAAAAAAAAAAAAGAAAAAAAGAAAAAGCTCAGGACTGATCAGATTCACTGGAGAAAACTAACACTAATGCTCTTCAAACTAAAATATAAAATAGAAATGGAAAGAATGCTACCAAACTAATTCTATGAAGTCAGTATTACCCTGAAACCAAAAATGTATAACCAAAACTTACACAAAAGAAAAGAAAAGTATAAATGCCCTTGATTAATGTAGAAAAATGTATTAATTAAAATGCTTGCAAATTTAATTCTACAACACATTTTAAAGATCATATACCAGCCAGGCACCAGTTATTCATGTCTGTACTCTTCACTCAGGAAGCTGAGACCTAGAGGCTCTCACTCCGAAGCAGAAATGACATTGAGACTCCATCTCCAATTAACCAGCAAAATGTGGACTATAGGCTTGGCATAAGTGATAGAGTGCCCCCTGATCAAGAAAGCCATATGAAATGTGAGGCCCTGAGTTCAGGACCCAGTACCAGCAGATACACACACACACACACACACACACACACACACACACACACACACACACACAGATCATATACTATAACCAAATTTGTTTCATTGTAGAGACACAAGGACAGTTCAACATATATACATCAACAAACTTAATATAGCACACAAATAGAATCAGGGACAAAAATTGCATGTTAACCTTAGTAGATGCAGATAAACTCTGACAAAATTTAAAATCATTTTATGATAAAAATCACTGAGGAAATAAGGAATAAAATGAACTTTACCACAATAAAGGCTACATCCAGCAAATCTATAGCCAACATTGTACTATGTGCAGAAAACCCCAAATTTCCTCAAAAATCAGGACTGAGACAAGGATGTCCACTCTCTATTTAGTATAATGCTTGAATTATTAGCCAGATAAATGAAGCAAGAGAAAGAAATAAAAGGGATACAAATAAGAAATTAAATGATAACCCTATACATTCAAAACCCAAAAGACTCCACAAAAACATCTTTTAGATCTAATAAATGCTTTCAGCAAAGTAACAGGATATAGAATCAACACACAAAAGAAGTTCAGTAGATTTTCAATATACCAAAAATGAGTATATTGAGAACAAAATCAGGAAAATAATTTATTCATAAGAACCTCAAGAAATCAATAAAATACTTAGGAATAAAGCTTGCCAAAAAGGTGAAAGACCCTTTACAGTGAAAGCAATAAAAGGCTGAAGAAAGAAATTGAAGAAGACACTAGAAAATGGAAAGACCGCCCATGATCACAGGTCAGCCAAATTAACACTGCTAAAATGACCTTATTAACAAAGGTGATCTACAAATAGATTCAGTTTCCACCAAAATTCCAATGACATTGTTCACAGAAATAGAAAAACAAAGGATTCTGAATAGCCAAAGCAATCCTCATGAAAAGAGAAAGGAAGATATCCAAGTATCTGACTTCTAATTATAATACAGAGCTATAGTAGCAACAATAATAACAACAACAACAAAAACATGGTAGTAGAGCAAAACCAATGGAATAGGAGAATGGAGCCAGAAAAAAGCCCATCCTGTTGTGATTCTCAACCAAGGGGCTCAGACCATGCATTGGGAAAAAAAAAAAAAACAGTCTTCTTAACAAGTGGTGCTGGAAAGCCTATGTATCCATATAGTGAAGAATGAAACTAGATCCCTGTCTCTCACCTTAAGAAAAATCAATTCAAAAATAGGTCAAAAGCCAGGCACCAGTGGCTCATGCCTGTAATGCTAACTACACAGGAGGATGAGCTCTTAGGATCACAGTTCAAAGCAGCCCAGTTATCTCCAATTCACCAAAAAACTAGAAGTAGAGCATTAGTTCAAATGGTAGAACACTAGCTTTGAGCAAAAAAGTTCAGGACAGTGCCCAAGCCCTGAGTTCAAATCAGCACATTCACAAAAGAATGATCAAACCTTAATATAGTCAAAAAAACTCTGAGCCTACTACAGGAAAATATATGGAAAACAATTGAGGATATAGGCAATGACTTTCTGAATAAGACTCTAATAGCTCAGGAAATAAGAGCAAAAAATGGACATTTGGAATCACATTTAAAAGCTTCTGTACAGCAAAAGAAACAATGAAGACATAGCCTAGAGAATGGAAGAAAATCTTTGGTGATCTGACAAGGAATTAATATTCCAAACATATTAACAACTTGAAGTTTAAATGTCAAAAATACAAATAATCCAGTCAACAGGTATACAAATGAAGTGAACAAACCATTCTCAAAAGAAGTGTGAATT